TTCGAGTTGGAGTCTCACTTTGTCACCCAGACTGGAGTGCAGTGGCCGCTCCCGGCCACCGCAGCCTCGACCTGCTGGGCTCCGGCGATCCTTCCGCCTCAGCCTTCCAAGTAGTCGGAATTACAGGTATGTGCTACCACGCCCGGCTGATTTTTTTATTTATTGTAGAGATGAGGTCTCGCTGCCCAGGCGGGTCTCGAACCCGCGGGCTCAGGCAATCCCCTCACCTCAGCCTCCCAAAGGTGCGGGATTACAGGCTGAGCCACCGAGCCCGGCTTATGCTTAATATTTATAAGTGCTTCTGAGGAGTTGATTCTGTTCTGACTCATACACTATTTATTCATCGTTAAGTTCAACAAATCATTGAGATCCATAAACCTGAATTTTCAGTTTCTCTAAAGAATTAGGAACTGTTTGCCAAATAATAACAGTCTAGCTGTGAGTGATAATTGCATAATTGTAATATGACCCACAAGAGATTTAAACCAAATGCTCATAGTATTTTTCCACAATTTTATGTAAACAACCTGTCTGGTATATGGCTTTGGGATGATACATTTGTCCTTAACCCCATAAGCCACTTTGGAGCCAGAGGCAGTGCCTATGAGAACAGAGCTGGAAGGACGTATGTCTATGTGAAAACCAGCCCCTGGATAGACTCATCCATCCATCTATAAATACAAAGATTGTATTCAACTCTGTAAATTTGACCAAGAACTTTGAAATTCAAGACAGATTTTCTTCAGTTGATCTGTGCTATTGGCATTTTCAAATAACTTCTCAACTGCATCATGACTGAGATCCAAATCATTGGGTTAACATGACCTCAATTCACAGAGCAACTCATAGCAATGAATGGGAAAATTAATAATGTCAGAAGGGAAAAGTTTGGTTCTTGACACAGCCTCAAGTATTCACATCTAAATAGATGACCCATTATGCTCTCTTGTCCAAAATAAAGATAATTCATGTACTTTTTTTCTCTTCTGTAAACCAAAGTGCTAAATTAAGATAAATAATTGTATAACCATTTACTTATTTTTGGAAGGATTAATTATCTCCCCAGTGAATGGCAAAGATTTTCTCTGCGGGAATCTTATTTTCTCTTGTCTGTTAGAAGTTCTTATCACAGTTCACAAATGTTTTCCAACCACTGGAAGGCCTTGGCAATACATATGAATAAACAGCTTGGCCCCAGTTTGGCAGCCTGCCCCCACTGGACTTGTGTGTCCACTGAGCCACACACACGCGGGACCCAGGGAAGGACCCGGACATCTACTCCTCTGTAGAGTACTCCTCTGTAGATTTACTCCGGAAATCATGGGCATCTACTCCTCTGTTCTGCACAGATAGCACGTGGGCCTCATTTTTATTTTACTTCCATCCTATAAACCCTTGGCCATTCTAAACCGAGCTATTTCTCCAGAAATCACATCACTGCGAAAAACAGCAAGGTTTATTTTCTCCCACAATGATCAAACAATTATAAATAAGATATGAAGATGGGATTTTCTGATGGCCATTCTTGTGATTTCTTCATCTTCTAAAAATTTGCATATTCTAGGTTCTGGAATTCCCCTACTATGCTAAGATGAATATGAGTAATCAAGGTGTACGGAGCAATTTTTAAGAACATAGATTAACCTAAACACATTCTTCTTAACCACGGTACTGGTGACCACAATTTAGCACTGGTGCTAAATAAATGATGGAACTCTTATGCTTCAACAACTGTGACTACCCTCATAGTCTCAGATGAGATAGAAGGTAGCTATTCTTCCAAGTTTCTAATATTTACCGCTGCCATGACAACAAGAGTTTCAATGTGTAACAAGAGAATCAGAAGAACCAGGATAAAGGCAAAAGCCTACCACTGAAAATGACTGACCACAGTCAAAGGCTCTGAGTTCCCTCTGGACGCTCTGTGCTGTTGCACTTGTCCCAAATCCAGACACATCTGCCAACTCAGCCCTTTAAGAAGTCAGTCAGTGAGAACACGCAGAAGCTAAATGGTCACAGAGATGGAAATAATAGACACTGGGGACACAAATAAGGGGGTATAGGGAGAGGCTCGGGTTCAGAAATTACTTATCGGTATTAGGTTCACTATCTGAGGACTGGGCCACCTGAGACCCAATTCCCACCATACACAACATGTCAATGTAACAACATGCACTTGTACCCCCTATATAAGTGAAAATGAAAAAAAAAGCCAATCAGGGATTTAGAGAAGATGCAGACGTTCTGCCGATGACACCCATCCAGGCTGTGCCCCAGATCCCTGCTTCTTTAGAAATGTCTGGCACAGGGTGTCCACCACGCCTCACCCCTGTCTTTATCCAGCTTCTTCTCCTGATCCTAACTGCAGATCTGGGGTAAGACCCAGAATTGTATGCATTTATGTTGTGTGTTTGTCTTTGCCATAGATACTAAATTTAAAATTTCCTAAATATGTCTTGTAGCATCAGAATTTGACAAGCAAATATCATGCAGAGCAGAGGCTTGAGTTACAAGGTACGTGGGTATAGGAGAAAAACGCGAGGCCAAGCGCAGCTGTGAAGTCCGATTTTGCTTTACACCAGCTGGGAACTTCAGGCCAGCGACTTGAACTCTCTGTGCCTGAGTCCTCTCATCCATAAGGTGGGGATGAAAACAGCACCCATCTCATAGGGTTTTTAGTTAAGATACCTAGCCACTTAGAGCTGTGTTTGTCTTGTAGTGAGCACAGTAGAAGTGTTAGTTACTATTTTTATCTGAAGTAATTACTAAAGAAATCCGTGACAATTATTTTTTTACCCAAATATTTAATTAAATTTTGTTTGTTTTTCAAATTCCCTGTGTCTCTTTAAAAGCAAAAGTTTTGTTTGGAAAAAAATAAGTCTTTAGTCCTGCTCCCTGCTCACTGCATAGGGTACCTCTTTATAAACAAGAGCTGGGTGCTACTTTGTAAAATCATGTCCATAAATACACACAGCCAAGTACTTCAAGGTGAAGGTTTCTCTTTTAAAATGGAGCTGTGAGGCTTTTAGGAGACTACAAAAAATACCAGATAATTTAATTATACTTACACTGCCAAAAATACTTACATTATTTTACCGAGAAAAATTGATTCTATTCCATTACACTCTAGCTTGTAAAGACTGTTGTATTTGTCCACTTACCCATCATGATGACTAGCTGAGGAATGAACTCTATCCTGGTACCTTGCCGAATTGGAAGCAAGAATTTATAAATCACTATACTTAGCTATATACGACGTGCCTATAGCCTATATACTAAGTGCCTGTCTCTAGCAAAAAGGATGCTGATTAGCCCAGGAGAACAATTATGACATCTATAGATTGTTGCTTTTACAAACCCATTTTCATTTAACATTGCAAGATGGTATTAGTCCTCCACAACGATAATGTGTTGATTTGCCACAAAGATATATGTTTTAAACCTGTTGCAGTTTATGATACTACACAGCTTATATTTTCTCTCCTGTAGGTTTCTAGATTCCCTCACACACAGGCAGGGAGGGACTGTCTCAACCACAATCATTGCACACACATCAACTTCGCAGACTATCACAGAGGGAGCACACAGTGCCCGGGGCAGGGCAGCCTGGGTCATCAGCACACACCATGTAGAGATTCTGCTGTGTGACTGTCAGGCTGGGGTTGGGGACACAGGAGAAAAGAAGCCGGCTGTGCACAACCCACTTGGGAAGCCCAGCCCACTCGGGAAGCTGGAGGTGGGCAGCACACATGGGTCAGACAGAGCTACACACAGAGAAGGCACACAGAGCAGCCACACACAGAGCAGGGTAGAGCCCGGGCAAGTTCCGAGAAGTCAGAAAGAGAAAGAGACCGGGAGCCACCACAGGCAGGACCACATCAGGGCTCTGGCTACTTGTCTACCTGGGGCCAGGAGCCGCCCTGACCAGCATAAACCCAGGGCATGGGATGGAAATAGTCAGAAGCAGGACCTGTGTCATGAGACAGGGACTCATGTGAAGTCACAGGAGGCACCAAACTCAAACACACACACAGATTTTGCAGTGGTATTGGCAAACACACACGGAAATACCGCCATGTCTCCAACACATGCTTCCAGGACACGTTGGAAATATGTCCTCATGCCTTCTACTCAGTGTGAGATTTGCAGGAAAAACAGATCAGGCGTGTGAGGCAGTTAAAAACATACGACCTTACTTACAAAACCTAATGTAACGATGTCAAGTGAAAGAGCAATCATATCTCTTAGTATGTAGATTTGGTGCTTCAACTCTGCTCCAGAAACACCATGTTTATCACCCAATATGACATTTTTCTGAAAAATCTACAGCAGGTGAAAAGTTAATTGTCACCAATGTACTCAGCATAGCAGGATTTATGGTGCCTCTAATTCCAGTCATTTCAAGTAATATTTATTTACTGAGAGCTCCCTGTGGCAGGGTCTGAGTAAGGAGACTGAGGAACATGAATGGATCAGACATGCCTGTGCCTTCCTGCACGGGATATACAAGGGCCATGGGTTACAGAGTTCAGAACAAGGACAGACCATTTCTATCTGGGGAACAGGGCATCATCGGAGATGTCTTCATGATAGAAATGATATTCCAATGACTTCTCAGAGGCACGTCGAGTGCTGAGCTGGAGGAACAGGGAAGGAGCTGTCTATGAAACACAGGGAAACAGGGGGGCTAGGGAAGGCAGAGAGTGTGTGGGAGTTAGCGAGGAGGTCACGGGACTTGAACACTGGATTGGAGAAGGCAAAAATCTAAGGAAAACCTAGGAGGTCCACAGACCATTGAGAACATTTGACTTTCTCTTCCTGTCATGAGAATCCACTGAAGATTTTAAACGGGGACAAGAAGTGATTAGGGAAGTACCCTTTGGAAAGACCGATATGGCTGTGAGCAGGCCCAGGGTCCGTGGGATTGTAATTGGCATAATTGATGGTCCCAAGGACTGTGGAGACACCACTGAGGTCCTGGGGGGAGGTCATGGATGTGAGACCCTACAACGTGCAAGAGTCCTGGAGAACAAAGAACAGCCCAGACAAGATGCCAAGTGCACGCTATGGGGAGACACCAGAGGGGAAAGGGCAGACTGGAACTGGGACTGCAAGTCAGGAGGTGACTGCAGTGATCCAAGTGGTGCACTGCCCCAACCAGGGAGGGGGAAACAGGCATGGGAAAGAAGAGACGGAGATAAGAGATCTTAAAGACAGAATCGACAGGTCCTCCCACAGACAAAAAAAAAAAATGTGACAGAGAAAGGATGCCAGGATCTGTGCCTCAAGGGCAGGAACAGTGGGAAGAACTTAGACTCATAGAAATGCAAAAGTCAAAATCTAAAAATCAGGCCCCAAACCCTGTATCAGCACAACTTCCCCTGACCCGCCTCCTTTACACAAGAAGATCATCCCTACCCCATTCCCTGCTGAGGAGCTACCCCCTGCTTGTAGCTGCATTACACAGCATGTGGCACACCCTACTCTGGCCACATGTGTTCAGCCAAGGTCCAGCACACAGCAGGCGCTCCAAGAGCACTCCTTCAGATACACAGAGTCTTCCGCTCTTTGAAGTGAACAGTAGACACAACAGTATAGACTCTCAGGGTTCTAATGTCTCCACACTGCTGAATCCTCCCAGGCTGGTCACAGAGTATTTGCATCATTTGGGAAATGTGATCTGGCTGCCATCTCATTGCTTCGACAGTCACTGTATGAAAAGTACTTTAATTCGAAATTCATGGTCACACACCGTGGCTCGCGCCGGTGATCCCAGCACTTTGGGAAGCTGAGGTAGGAGAATTGCTTGAGCCAGGAGCCCAAGACCAGTCTGGGCAACACAGCGAGACCTCTTCTCTACAAAATATCAAAAAATTAGCTGAGTGTGATAGCGTGCATCTGCAATGTCAGCTATTTGGGAGGCTGAGGCAGGAGGTTCGCCTGAGTCCAGGAAGTTGAGGCTGTGGTGAGCCATAATTGTGTCACTGTATTCTGGCCTAAGTGACAGAGTGAGATTTCGACTCAAAAAAAGGAAAAAAGTAGTTCACAGAGAAGAAAAGAATAAGCAAGGAGCTGATGAGGTATGTGGGGCTGCAGAGAAACTTCAGGAAAACGCCTGGCAGAAGTCAGTTGACAAACGGCTGTGAGAAGGGGAAAAACTCCACCTTCATGCCCAAGACACCCAGAATATTTCACTTTTCTCAAGGACGAAAATCCTCATGCAACATGCCCAATGAATGCTTGAAAAGAAGCAATAATGATATCTGGTAATGTTCTGTGTTCTCACTTGGAATTCTTGTTCACTATCTAGCATGAAGATGAGAGGTGAAACTGATGGCCAGAGGGGGTTTTGTAAAGCCAAAGGTAAGTGCATGATGTTCATCCTCCCAATCAAATTCTAAGGGTTAAACTGTATCTAGTGAGAAAATAAGCATTGCCACAGCTGATGTTAATGGACACGTTCACACAGCCACTAAAGGATGTCTGGTGGTTTGTCCAAAGGCAGAGTGCAGAATACAGAGTCACCACACAATCCAGCAATCCACTCCTAGGTGCATACTTCAAAGAAATGAAAATGCACATCCACACAAAAACTTGTACACATATTCACAGCAGCATTATTCACAATGTCCACAACATGGAAACAATCCAAATGTTCATCACTAGGTGAATGGATCAAGAAAATGTGACACAGGCACACAATTAGCCCATACAATTAAATATTATCCAAAAATAAAAAGAAATGAAGTACCAACACATGCCATAGCATAGATGAGCCTTGAAACGTTTGCTAAGTGAGAGATGTCAATCATCTTTTAAAGCACATATATTGTATAAGTCTACTCATAAGAAATTTCCAGAATCAGCAAAGCTATAGGCACAAAATGGATTTGTGCTGCTGAAAGCTGAGGGGCTGGGAGGATATGCTGGACGACTGCAGGTGGTACAGAGTTTCTTTTGTAGGTGATGAAAATGTTCTAAAACGGATTGTGGTGATGGTTGCACAATTCTGTGAATATGTTAAAAATCAATATACAGTATGCATTAGATGGGTAAATTATATAGTATGTGAATTATATCTCAAAGGTTTTGAAAATCACACGAAAATATTTCCTTCCACACAGGATGGGAGCAAAAGGTGTCATGATATTTCTTTCAAGCACTTAATTTTTGTTTCCATTTTCTGAAAAGAAGACATACTATATCTCTAACTAGCAATTCTGTGTCCTGTGTGTATGAACTAGTGCATGTTCAAACATCAGACAGACAGCATTCACGGATGAATGAATGAATGAACGAATGAAGGAACAGTGCTTTGGGAAAGTACTACAGAAAAGGAGTACTCACAGGAAGCCCACGGGGTCCTCGGGGTCCCACCTCACCTGGAGGTCCCTGCTGGCCCTGTACAAGGAAGGCAGGGAGAGAGAATTAGCACCCTGCTCATGTGGGCTAGAATGGGAAAGGTCAAGGTGTCTTGTCTTACCGGCTTGCCTGAATTCCCCAGCTGGCCTGGCTTCCCTGGAGCGCCTGTGCTGCCCTGGAGGCAAAAAGTGACAGTCAGAGTAGCCCTAGTGCCAACGAGCACTCACCACCTGGCTTCCCACACTCTCTTTCACACTCGGTGTCAGACATTGCTCCCTCCTGACTGCACCTACACAGAGGGGTGGCTGGCAGGGCCTCTTTGTGTTAGAGACCTCAAAGCCCTTCAGACTCAGATGCTGTCAGTCCTGGGGTACATTAAAGGTCAAATGGCAACAAATGAGGGGCTTTAGCCTTCCTGCGAGAGGATCCCTTCAACAGAGGACTTTCCTCCCCATGTCATGAATATTCTGACTTCCCTTGTCGCCTCCTGCCCTCATGAAGCCCTTGTGCTCATTTACCTCTCATGATCACTGCAGGCATTAGTAAGTGCAGGTCACACAAGGACACAGGGTACATTGCTGAGAGCCCTTCCGGCCAGCCCAGGGAGCTCATGCGTGTGGACATGCTATACCCTCCACCCAGGGAGCACGCACGTGTTGGCATGCCACCCCAGCTGCCCAGGGAGTACACACATGTGGACATAAAATACCACCTGCTCAAAGAGCACACACGTGTGGACGCATCACCACACCTACCCAGGGAGCACATACATGTGGACATGCCACCCACCCCACCCAGGAAGCACATATGTGTGGACATGAAACACCACCCATCCAGAGAGCGCATGTGTGTGGACATGCCACCCCCCCCTGCCCAGGAAACACACACATGGACACACCACCCCCTCCTCATCGCTCATGACCAGTTCTGCCCCAAATGCTGTAGGTCACCAAGATTGGAAACTGCAGCCTCGTCCTCTAAAAGTGATCAGTCCTACATGACACACCTTTTCTTCTTTACTCTCAAGCAAAGCTACATTTGACCCTTTCAATTTTTCTTGCATCTCTTGTTTTCAGTTGCTTGTGTATTCGTTCTCTGTAGAACATAAGTACTACTTACTCGATCAGTCTGTAAACAAAATGCCCAATCGCTTTTCGTTTAAATTGAATCATTTTAATATTCTCTGACATAAGTCTTATGGCTTAATAATATCTTCTACAGCTTAAGAGGTAAAGAACAATGATATTTTCTGTTCTATACTGACAAAAGATGACAGTCCATTAAGGAAGTCTCATCAGTGATACTTTGTTAAAGTATTCATTCTGCAGCTGAGAGAAAAGTTAGCATTTGAAGACATCAAGCTTTATTTTTTTATTCCTCCGGAGGATCAAATATAAAATGAAAGTCAGGTTGAAAATATTAAACATTACACATAAAATATATCAATAAAAGAATCAAAAAATTAAGAAAAACATCAATTTAAAAGTTTTCATCTTTTACCTTTTCACCAGCAACACCCTTGGCACCAGGAATTCCAGGGACACCCTGAAAGAATGCACGGGGAATGTGGATTTAGACTCCTGGCTGGGAGCTGAGAGCCAGGAGACACACACAAGAGGCTGAGGGAGCATGACACCCCTGGAGCTCCACTGTGAGGCAAGCCTTCCTCACTCCCAGACTCCAGACAGTCTGGTTCACAACTGCCCCGGGTCAGAGGGCACTGCTTTACTGTGACTGGCTTGTTAAGGCCGAGAACCCTTAAGCACATCTTACCTCTGTGCTAGAGTCATTTTTCAAGGAGGAACTTCCAGAGGAGAACCCGGTGCCATTTTCAGGTCAACAGAGGCAGTAACAGGAAGGAGAGGCTACCAGGCTGTGACATTGCTTCATGCACAGGACAACACAAGGGCCTGTCCAAAGTGCTGGGCTTTGCAGCAGAAAAGGGAATGGCAGGAGGAGGGTGGGCCTTGGTACTTGGTACTGCTGGGAGCCCTAATACCCTCTCATTAGTTAACAAGCGTCAGATGTCACACTAGATGGGGTGGTCCTTGAGAGTACCAAGGTTCCTTTATTAACTTGAAACATTTGCCTCCAAAGAGCCAAGAACACCTCTGTACAGTCTACATGAACTTCCAGACACATTAGCGCAGGGAAACACCATCCTAATTCAAAACAGCACCTAGTCCATAAGTGACATCTTATGTCTCCATGGTCCCCAGAGCATGCACCAACCTTCCTGGGGGTCAAGCCTGCTAACGAACTCCAGAACTGGTCAAAAGTTGTCCCACAGTTCGGAGTTTGTAAAAAAGACAAGGAAGGCTGCATGAACTCAAGAGAGAAGACCAATCCACAACATAAAATTAAAGCTTATGATTTACAGTTACTCCAGAAATAACTTCAGAGAAAAAGTATGAAAGGCAAATAGGAACTGTAAAAATGTAGAACATGGTGTCTTCCTCAGAACATATCAGGTTATGTAGCAAGTGTCTCCCCTGAGAGTTTGTATCTTAAAGCATGCGTGTAAACCAATTAACATTAAAGAACCAAACACTCACTGGCAGCCCCTGCAATCCTGCATCCCCGGGAGGCCCGGGTTTTCCTGGTTCACCCTGAAAAACAAAGTTTGTCTCATATGATTGACCCATATGATCCGCTGCAATTCTTCTAAAAAGGAGGACCATAGACATTCTGAGTAAGGGGTTGTCCCAAGAGCTGACCTTACATGCACTTTTATGAAGTGACTTAATTTAGGGTGGGGGCGTGGGGCAAGGATATAGGACACAAATTCAATCCAAATGCACAACTTCCCTCAACCAATTTCATCCACAGGACAATTTTACTGAGTTCCTGAACGAGCAAATAAATATTCCATTCTAGTATTTTGTATTTGACACTTGATTTTTAAATTAAAAGCAGGAAAAAAGCCAAAGCTGGCTAAAAAAAGAATCTGGTGGTTTAGACACGGAAATGTGTGCTCAGCTGCCAGAAGAGAGACTGCCCGTCCATTCATGGACTCAGTGACAACACTACCTTCGCACCCGGCATTCCAGGGATCCCGTCACGGCCATCCACACCTGGCAAGCCCTAAAGACACACAAAGAAACACACTGTCCTTAGATGCCTTCATTCCTTCATGATTTCCTAAAGTTTTATTCCAACTCAATTATCACTTTGAAAAGGTGCCTGATGTCCACAGCTCAGGACGTACCGTGTCTCCTTTAGGTCCAGGGGAGCCAGGAATCCCTCTAGGTCCTTGGATCCCCTGCAGAGCAGAAGAGGAGTAGACAAAAGACATGGTCAGCTATCACAGTACCCAGGGCATGTCAAGGAAGCAGCAGCAGGTGACAGATGCATGGGGACTCACCCTGTCTCCCTTGGGACCAGCTTCTCCTGGGGGTCCTCGCTGCCCTTGATCACCCTGTGTGAAAACAAAGTGTCATTACCACAAGTAAAAGTCGCTCTTGATAGACTTGAAAATCAGTAAGCATTATCCATATCTCTGTCACCTTCCTGCCATGCAGCATTGTGCTGTCATGGACCCCGAGCTCAAGGAAGTGTACTATAAAATCAGCACTGTCTTAGCTAATGATGACACCACAGAAATCCCTGGAATGTGCATGTCTTTTGTTTTCACTCTAAATGCCCAATGCACTTGTGCTCTTGGATATAACATCTAATAAATTAGGGTCTATGACACCGGGAACCACATCCACACACCAGCTGGTGTCATTGGTTGGCACGGTGAGTTGAGGCTTGGTTAGGTGCTAATCTTTTCTCCATGTTATTTAATTCCCAGTCAGCAATAATGGTTTCTGCCAAAGTTATCCAGCTAACACTGACATGTAGTATAGGTGGTGACAGACGAGAGCATGTGTCTTCCTGAAATACTGTCGAATTGCTTAATGACTCTAGAACCTTGAACGACTCCCTGTTACTGTTGGATCAGTTTCAATGGCCCAGATTGGTATCACACATTCTCCACAATGTTGTTCTGCCTTATGCATACAATCTCACCTTCCCAACACCAACTTTCCACTCCAGGCAGGGGCAGTCCCAGGACAGTACGTACACCATCACCACCCGCAGTGCCTCTCCTGCACTGAGGTGCCTTCCTCAGCGGCACTCACCCAGCCTCCACTCAGGCCCTCCTGCATGAATGCCTCTGCTACTCTCTAGGACTGGACCCTGAGGTTCACCATTGACTCACATTCTCTCCTTCCCATGGGAACATAGAACCTCAATAGCTGGAAATACTATCTTATTTATACATTTTCTATTTTCTGTATAGTATAGGTGATTACTAATGGATGACTTATTTTTTGGTTGCACCCTTCCAAAAAATGGCTTGAGGGAGCCTATAATAATGACACGTGCAATAATGATACCTGGCAGCCAAAATATGGAATAATGAGATCAGAAACCTCAGGGGGGAAAGGACAGAGCTGCCCAGGAACTCGAAATGAGAGAGTTACTGTGACTATGAGCTTCCTAATGATCAAAGCTAGAGGAAAACACAGCAAGCATGGATACTTAACAATTTGATTTAACCTGTAAGAAGGAAACACCCATATCAAGTCAGAAGAACATTTCTTTGTACCCAAGAAAGATGCTTGTCTTAGTTTAAAATGTTTTAAATAGTATAAAAACTATTGCTCTTTTTTCCTCTTTAATTATTCACATGTAAAAGATACTTGCACACACACACACACACACACACACACACACACACATAGCAACAACAAAAACATCTTTCATTGGGTTTTGTGGAAGGAAAGTCACTTACAGGTGCACCGGGAAGACCCTGAGGCCCAGGTTCTCCATCAAAGCCCCGAGCACCCTGCAAAATAACAATGAAGAAACAAAACTGCCATCAATCATGTATGTTAAAGGGCACACCCAACTTTCGTAAAGAAAGTTTGCAGTCAGATAAAAATGCAGTTTCTTGCCTGTAAAGCCTACTCTGTGTCATTGAACCCAACACCCAGACACAAGAACACATGTCACACCAGCAGTGCCGCAATAAGACCTGACGCCACTCTGGAAACCTGAAGTTAACACTGCCACCATGCTCAGTTGCTGGCATGAACTAAAACACCAGTACTCATTCATTCAGAGAACCTGGGAAATCTAGAGGATGAGGTCTGGTGGCCACCTTCTGGGCCTCTGAATGTTCATGGAAATTCATTCATGATAAAGGCCTTGGAGTCACCCTGAGAACAGCTGTCACACTCTCACTGCCTCTGCAGGAGGGACTTCTGCATCTCCCACCGGATCTAGGATAAGCTCTAGAGTAAGACCTAGTACCACCATGTGACTCAGAAGAACGAGTTGTTAGAAGGATCAGTGTGTCCCCTTTCCCATCCCAAGCAAATGTCAGGTTCTGGTTGTGTAAAGGAAACAAACTCTTTCTCAACAGCAGATCCAACAGCAGAATCCAACAGATAGCATCAGAACTACCCAGAGCTGTATAAATCTGATTATCTTGGAACTATCTCTGGACTGGCAACACATTGTACACGTGCCCTTCTTCTCTTCGTTTTAAGAATCCATCCACTTTAGTGTTCTCTACCTAAGTTACCTGGCAAAATACAACCCCCTTCTTTAACTCTTGTGCTTATCTACTAAGTGAATAAGAAGGCACAAGGACAGTGAACGGGCAGTCTCCTCCTGAACCGGTTTGAAATCAGAAGATGACAAAATACATGGAAAACAGGCAAAAATATCAGATAGATATGAGGCCAAGAAAGCCAGGTGGGCCACATCTGGAGTAAGGATCCAAAACTAGAAAATCTCTGAGAAGGTTCAGGCATAGTTAGAACCATAAAAAGCACACCACTGAAACAGAGGCACCACAGAGCCTTGAATTCTTTGATACCCAAAAGCTAGAATAAAGCAGAAGGCATCCCACATTCACTAGGGAAGAGGAGACTTGGAAGACCTGAAACAGACCTTGAAATCGTCATTGATCTTGCGTTACTAGGGCAAAGCCCAGCTTCCTCATTATAAAATGACTTTGGGGCTCTCATTCACTCTCCTTCTTTCTCCCTCTTTCCCTCTCGATGTCTCTCTCTCTCTCTCTCCCTCTTGCTAAGCTTCTCTTTCCCTCTCGATGTCTCTCTCTCTCTCTCCCTCTTGCTAATCTTCTCTTTCCCTCTCTCTTCTCTCTCTCTCTCTTTCTCTCTCTCTCTCTCTATCCCTCTCTCTCCTTCACCTTCCTCTTGTCTCCCTCTCTCTTCTTTTCTCTCCCTCTCATTGCTGTTCAGCGTGAACTTAGATCCAAATCACTGTTACTAGGTAACCACAGGTTTGAGTTCACAAAAAGATCTTCTTTCTCTCTTTCTTTCCATCTCTCTTTCCTTTTTTTTTTTGAAAGCAATTTAACAGAAATTAGAGGAAAAGAGAAATTTTGAAAAATACCAAATAGAAAAATATCTCAAATAAAGAGCATATCAAGAACAGTGATTGGTTTTAAAGTGAAGGGTCACATATTTTAGGAATGATTTAAATCAAGAAAAAGGGAAGGCCAGAGTACTATCTGCTGGGACCTTTTATCTAATAAAAGAAGAGACACACTGCATATTGCTTACAGTAACATGAATACAGAAACATGAAAGAATCTGTCTCTACAAATACAACGTTCTTTGAAAAAAATAGTCTAAAAGGAGATGGAGGAGGAAAGTTCGCAGAATGGAAGTACTTAGAAGAGACAAAGAACCTGAAAAAAATGAAATTGAGAGAAAATATTGTAAATAAGTCAGACCTTTAATTCACCCAAAAGTATTGCCTGAACCCGCAGGTTCGAGACTCGCCTGGGCAACTTGGCGAGACCTCATCTCTACAATAAATCAAAAAAATTAACCAGGCGTGGTAGCGTCCACCTGTAGTTCCAGTTACTTGGAAGGCTGAGGCGGAAGGATAGCCAGAGCCCAGCAGGTCGAGGCTGCGGTGGCCAGGAATGGTCACTGCACTCCAGTCTGGGCAACAGAGTGAGACTCCAACTCAAAAAAAAAGGAAAGAGTTCGTCTCACTGACACCATCTGCAATGCACGTGTGGCCCATTAACTGCAAAGGGCTTGTGCTTCCCTGCATGAATCGGCTCTAAAGAGAACAAGGCAGGGTCAGAAACAGTGCCTGGCAAAGGGGCTTTATGCATTTTCTGGGCCTGTGAGTGGACTGTCTCACCATTCTAAGAAGTAGAGTCAGTTTTCTTAGAGCCCAGGAGAGGCTGGCCACGCCCCTGCACGCCCTGAAAAGCCGCCCTGGGCATGTGTTGGAGGGCAGATTCCCACTGCTCCTCCAGCGGCTGCTCAGGCAGCCAGTGGCCCGCCCTCCATCCTCCTCCAGCCACGTCCTGCCATTCAGCACCCTTCGGAGGCCACCTCCTCTGTGGGCCTCCGTCCCTCTCAAGTTAACCCCTGCCCCTGTTCTCCCTCACCCTCACGGCTGTCTTGCTTGCATTAGTCAGCATCCACCTATGTGTCCCTCCCAATAAACAGCCACTTGGTGGAGGCCTCATTCCCCTCAGAGTCTCCCAGCACCTGCAGATCGCCTTGCCCTAGAGGTGCCAAGAGAGGTTGGTCTCTGACCAGGCCACGGGTTGATGTGTGGCCCTGCTGGCCAGGTGAGCCACAGGTGCCCGTGTCTCAGGGGTGTCCTGCCTGTTTCCGCTTCTCCATTCCCATCTTCCCATCTTTGCCTTGCCCCACCAAAGTTCTCAGGCCTGTGTCTGTGTTCTCAGTGCTGAGTACCGAAGTTGATGAACAGGAAAAACATGGCTACCCTGCCGGCTCAGGATGATTTTAAATACATAACACACAGCAAGCCTCCCGCTGATGCCCAGCATCTGCGTCCACACAGATGTGCAAGGACCCAACCACACGTTCACAGAGCATCCACGAACTGCCATGCTGCTGAAAATGAGAGGGTGTTTTCTTTACTCAAAAAATATGTATTCAGTTCTCCCTCTAAGACATGATCCCAAATCAACAAACAGGAAACAACACTGAATGGATTATCCCACTTCCTGTTTGCATACAAGTCCTTTTGCATCAACGGATAAATACTTAATGCATTCGACCTCATGTTTTTGTCTTCACCAGCTTACTTTTTCCCCTTTGTCCCCAACGATGCCGGTAATGCCTCTCAAGCCTTGCACTCCCTGTAAAACAGAAAAGGCAGAAAAGGGAATTATTTTAGTTGAAGCACACATTTAAAAAAACCTCATCATAAAAGCTGATCCAGAAAAAGGATATTGTCCTAACCAAAGGTAATACTAAGAAATAGTGACACTATATGGAAAAACTTTTCTAGATTAGAAAGGAAAGTCCATCTCCAAAAGTAGACTCAAGGGAGGGGGAAAAAGACAAAAACAAGCAAAAATAAATAAATAAAGGAAAGTCCAAGGAGAATTCTTCTGATGCTAAAGCCTTTTTATAAAATTATGAAGTCTTACACAATAGTGAAGTTGGCACAATCACTCGTGACAAAAAGCAAATGTCTGCATAAAAGGAATCATGAGGATGGATTTGACGTCTCTTTTAACTCACCCACAGAACTTACACTGCCATTCCCACCGCCTTCGTGGCTTGTACTTGATTATATAGAACATGATTTTAAACTTGGGAATAATTTTCCCCACCAATTTATGCTTTAAAAGGCAGGAGATTCCCAGGCTAGCCCACAGTTCTGTGACATAGAAATGGAGCTGGAGTCCCTGTCAGTCACTTACAGTCACTATTTATCATGCCATTCCTACAAATGTATATTTTTCAGGATATGGTTTTGGAACTGGGAATAACATCTTCTGTTACTCCTGATGGTGCCATGAAAAGATTATGTAATAAAATATTTTAAAATTAGGTTTTAAAAAAAGGCACTGAGTTCCAACATGGAGTAGAAGGAACCCATCCCTCAGGCACATGTACAACAGGGACCCTCTCCCATTTTGAAAAAGTGGTTATGCCGGGCTCAGTGGCTCAGCCTGTAATCCTGCGCCTTTGGGAGGCTGAGGTGAGTGGATTGCCTGAGCCCGTGGGTTCGAGACCCGCCTGGGCAGCGAGACCTTATCTCTACAATAAATCAAAAAATCAGCCGGGTGTGGTAGCGCATGCCTGTAATTCCGGCTACTTGGAAGGCTGAGGCGGAAGGATCGCAGGAGCCCAGCAGGTCAAGGCTGCGGTGGCCAGGAGTGGCCACTGCACTCCAGTCTGGGTGACAGAGTGAGACTCCAACTCAAAAAAAAAAAAAGAAAAAGAAAAAGTAGTTATGCCCCAATGGTTTGTGGAAAAATAGATAACACCAAGTTAAAATAATGCTATTAACCCAAATACTAAATAAATTGAAGCTATTCCAAGAATCATGAAAAGAAAGAATGTTTGTATATCCTAGTTAAATGTTTTTTAAAAATGCTTTACTGGAGGTCCTTGAGCTCCAACTTCTCCCAGTTCTCCCTGGTCACCTTCTTCACCCTAAAAAACAACAGAGAAAAGCACACAAATATTATTCTAACCGAAAAACACAGAACTACGCTTGCTCTAACTCACTCTGTCTTAAATTCACCTAGCGTCCCCTGAATTATCCTACTTTATTTCATTATTTTTACAGGTAATCCACAATAATTAGAGAATTTTCATAAAATACAGCGAAGTATACAAAGAAGTTAAAGCCAGCCAAATCTCGGCATTCAGTCATAAATAACAATAACATTTCAACACTATCCTTTCAAAGTTTTTCTAAAGAGAGGGAGAGAGAAAGAGAGACAGAGAGAAGCCAAGAAAGAAAGAAATGTATGCATTTATGTTCCAAGTGTGTGTCTGCAGAGGATGTATTATTAGGAAAATATGGTAAGACTATGCAAGCTTTTTCATAAGATACAATATTTTTTAACATGATTTTCATTTTAGCTCTTTTAATTATAATTTTCACACCACATATAATTTTTTAATATATAAATCAGTCTTCTTTCATGGGTATATGCCTTTGATGTCACTCAGAGAAAAGCCCTTTCACACCCAAAATATATTAATAATCATTTGTATTTTTGTTCTAGTAATTTCATAACTTCTTACATAGAAATATTTAGTTATTAATAATTTATTTTGATCTAAAATAAAACATAGAAATATTTTTATTTCTCTTGTTCCAATATCATTTATTGAAGAACAGATTCTCTCCACACAGGTTGGAAAATTCATTGTTAACATATACAGATTGTCAAATGCCCTTGGCTATAAAGCTCTACTGAACTGCTGTACGCTGTCACCAATACCACAATACTTTAATTATTGATATTTTATAATAAAGTTTAATATCAGGTAGGGAGAATTTCCTTGTCTTAGTTTTCATTTGTGGTTACTCTGATTTTTCAGATTTTCCTAAATATTTATTCTTCCAAATGAACTTTAGAATTGTTTAGCATTCTGGAATCATAGTACTGCATTAAGTTAATAGACTAATGTGGCAACAATTAAAATACTTACAATATTAAAACTTTCTATCCTGGAACTCAGTGTATCTACCTATTTAGTCAAATATTTTATTTTTATTAACTTTATTTTAATAAAGTTGTATTATTTCCTTCACATTTGTCTTAAAATTTTCTTAATTTTGTTCTAAGTTATCTTGACTATTTGGTTGCTACTGCCCATTATATTTTCTAAATAATTACTGTTTTGACGCTTTATATTAATTTTACAGCTTTTGATACATTTTAAAATGTTAGAATATAATCCAAAAAGAAGCTTGACTTCTGTCTCTTACAGAAAGATTACTTTACAGATTCTGAAAAAAGTTACTTTTTCTCTGACAAGGGTTTTGGTTTTTAGAATAGATATACTGCTGTACATTTTCTGTGGCAATAAATATATTAAATTGTGAAGCTGTTTTTTATCTTTTGTTTGTTTTTGGTTTCTTTAATTTTTTATTTTCTTTGTGTATGTGAAGTTAATTGTAAGGAAAGTACTTCATTTTTAATATTATGTACATAACATTTTATTAAAATACATTTCTATTATTTCTTTATTTTCAATCCACCTATTTTCTTGCTCCACAGACTATACCTTACACTTGAAATTTTCACTAGAAACAGGAGCTACTGTACAGAAAAGTTAGCAGCAGTAGTGATATAGAATACTTGGGCATATGATGCAGAGAGCTAGGTTATGTCTAGATCATTGACCTTGATTTCTAGATGAACAGTGAGAGTCTCACATATTGGTTCTAGCCTCATAATTATGCTGAGGTTTTATCCATTAGCACCTATGTCTGACAGTCGGAAACAGCAACCCCCGTGGGAAGTCAGTGAATTAGCTATTCACAGAGCGGACAGTCACCATGTGTGCGAAATTAAATGCTGCTTGTAGTTCCCTGTAAAAATACAAAACTAGCTACAAAACAACAGTGACTGATATGTCAGCTGCAATATTTTCCCAGCAGGGCATGGAGTATTTTCCACAGGTTCTCCGTATCACCCTCTCTGCAGGGATGTCTTTGAATCAAGTGTTTCATCTGCAGATGGAAAGCACACAGCTAACCAATAACCATGAGGTTAAATAACAAACTTAAGAGCAGCAACTTATTGTCATTTTACTGAAGGATTTTGCTGTATGAAATTTGCTGTATGATCTGTTGCATGATGCTGCCAATACCACAATATTTTAATTATTGAAATTGTATTATTCATTCCTATATTCATACACAATTTTTACAATCTTCATTCATTAACTTGTAGAGCAAGTTCAAGGCAAAATTGTGGCTCTGAACTCCAACTTCAGGCGTCCTGTTTCTATTATTCTGCTGTAGACTTAAGTTCTGTCCATCAGTTGGCCCTTCAAGGTTCTCCCTTCAAGGTTTGTCAATAAAATGATAATAAGTCGCTGCTCTTAAGTTTGTTATTTAACCTCATGGTTATTGGTTAACTATAATGGTTATCCTATCTATTTTCAAAGACACTCCTTCAAGTTTAAGTGACACAAAAATGTGAAATAAATTAAAGAAAATTTCAACAACTTTCAAACAAAATTTTGGCCAATTCCCTGATACGCCAGAAAAAAAAAAATGTGCAGGTTTTCCACCAAAGACCAAATCAAACTTGAAAGTCTAGATAACTAACTTGTATAGGTATCAAAAATACTAGTTTCATGGGGAGAGTGGAGGGTCACCCTGATTGACAGCTCCACCCCAAAATCCTGAGGGACAGGGGAGTAAAAGTCCTCCAAAGGAAGGGGTCACCAAAAGGAGAAAGGGTTGTAGAGCATTAAAAATAATAGACATCCGCCATATTGCTTTACTATGCAATTCCTCATGAATATCTCTTCATGTGACTTAATATTCTTACACACCTGCTTTTGTGGCTAGCTAGTATTCTAGTATATGGACATATCATCCTTAATCTAGCCAGTCCCTTGTGATTGGGCATATTTTTTTCACTTCTGTGCATCCAGCACTCAGAATAACCCTGGCATACAGCAGGCACTTAATAAATATTTGTTCAGTTTTTTAAATTACAAGTTTTAAGACACAAGGGGAGAATGGATACACAGAGAAATTTCCAAAGTACTGGATTTTTTTCCTCTGTTCTCCAACTTGACATCAGGAACCCAGCTGTTATATCTCAGGTAAATAAACTGCCTTAACTGTGTGTAGCCTGTGTAATGAAAACTTTTAAAATAAATGTCCAAACACCATAATAGTACAGAAATGGGCCTATTTATCCTGATTATTTGAGGTTATTCAGCAGACTGATTTTTAGCTAAGAAGTTCAAGGATATGAATGCCTAAAGAGATTGATAAATTGCCTTTCCACTTCTTGACTCCCAAAGAAAAAGACTAATCCTCTGTCATTATCCAATAAAGGGCTAAAAGGACACAGTCAACAAAGTCAAGAGAACCTGAATTAATAGGAACAGCCTGGCCAGGCTCAGTGGTTCAGCCTGTAATCCCAGCACTTTGGGAGGCCGAGGTGAGTGGACTGCCTGAGTCCAGGAGTTAGAGACCACCCCGAGCAACTTGGTGAGACCTCGTCTCTACAACAAATCAAAAAATTCAATGAACGTGGCAGCACACGCCTGTAGTTCCAGCTACTTGGAAGGCTGAGGCGGAAGGATCGCTGGAGCCCAGCAGGTCGATGCTGGGGTGGCTGTGAGTGTGCCACTGCACTCCAGCCTGGGCAACAGAGTGAGACTCCAATTCAAAATAAATAAATAAATAAATATATAAATATATAAATAAAAGAACAGCCTGAGTGTGTAAAATACCATCAAATTTTCCAAGACTAAAATTCGACTCTGCAGGAAGCAAAATACTTAGACACTTGAAGATGACTTGCCTAGTGGTTAAGAAAAGGACAAACAGGTGACCTTGTTTATGTTCCAGCCTTGGTTTTTCTCCAGGGCATACCAGTCCCAGCATAAGCTACGCTGTGGATTCCATGAGTCTATCCAGATAGTAATGTAAGTCATTACTAGCCTCCAGAGACTCAACACCTAGGTTACATCGAAATGAGGTCAGAAATAAACAGATACATTACTTCAGAATTCAAGAAGCAAAGCTATGAGCCATATCCCAACCTTTCTGTGTGCTAGTCTCAGAAACACCCATCATAAAGTTCATAAAATGTTGTCTGGAGCTAGTTGAATAATGTTTGACTATCACAGCAGCAAGGAGAAAAGCTGAGAGTGATGGATTTGAAAAGGAAAGAAAGGTAGAGACACAGGAAAAAAATGAAAATGCCCGGTGTCTTCTTTGCATTTTGGAACAGAACAACTTTAGAGAATCATGCTTTGTCAGCTACTGATGCAAGTATTGAGAACTTGTCAATCACTACTGGAAAAAGAAGGATGAAACACTATGCTTCATGACATCTGATAATTTCTAATTCTTACAAAGAGAGTGACCCTCACCTTAATCACTGTCCATTGTCCTTACCTTGTGTCCTTGTCTTCCTGGTTCACCGATTTCTCCTTTAGCCCCTTTATGCCCCTACAAGTACAAGAATAAATAATAAAATATATGCATAAATTAGAACTGTCTTGGGTCTGGCACAAAAAGTGGTCAGAAGGCTCCTAACATAACCCTACTTCCCTCAATGTGCTTCAAAGTAAAACATCTTGTTACAAGGAAGACAATGGCCTTAAATGATCTTCACAGCACAGTGTGCCACACGACTGCTGTGCATAATAAATACTCACTTTAATTCACAGGAGAGCACCACTCTGGAGTAACAACACGCCATTACCTGGCTCAGAAACTCAGGGTTCAAGGACTCCCACCTGGTATTCTAGATCCCATCCCTGCCTCTCACGTCCTCCTGCAGTTGGGGGAAGGGCATGAAGGCTTCCTCAACTCTGGTGACTTAACTTTTCACAAGTGACAGCCCTGATCCAGCCCAGCTGCTGTCCCCTGCTCTCGAAGGCTTCTCTGAAAGCCTTCAGCCTCCTCCATGCCCACTGCCTTCCTGGAGGCAGAAGAAGGGCTGGTGTACAACTTTCTGCCTCTTTCTGTCCAATTTTCAGTGCACAGAGAAAGCAACAGAGGCACAGGAGAAGGCCACAGGCGTGGAAAGAAGCCCGTTTCTCCTTATCGGTCCATTTGTTCTGACATGTGGGCTTTGGGTGGTGACAGGAGGCAAACTGCAAGACAAACCCTTGAAAACCAAGTCTGTCGGAACATTCACCCCTCAGAAACCTTTCTGAAAACTAGACACCGGTCCAGGGCCAGATATTCTGCAGCTGAGGGAACCACCAAAGTTACCCTCAGAGGAATGCTGGTAGACAGCCAGAGCCTTGGCCTCTCAGGGCACAGCAGAAACCCACCGGTGGGAATTTCTCAAAAGCACTTCAGACTCGGACTAGAGAGAGATAGCTATTATCCCCAGCACTGGGTATTTATTTTTTGTTTTCGTAGAAATTTTTGAAGTACTTATGATGGCAGAGTGAGATAAAAACAGTTTTGGAAAGTCTTTTGCCCTGTCTATTTTGCATAGCTTTTCCAATTTTTTTGTTTTGGGGGTTTTTTGTTGTTGTTGTTGTTTACAAAAACAGTTTCAAGTACATTATGGACAAAATCACCCCATGGCCCCACCACCATCTCCCTTTGCAGGAGACAAACTCCTGAGCCCTGATGTGGTGTTCTAGGGTTTCTCAGTCCAAGGTATTCTAGGTATTTCTTCCCTGAACAACAAAACTGCATAATTAAGCATCCGGTCTTGGAAGGAGGCCCTGTCAGGGCACCAGCTGGAATTTCTACAGCAGAAAAGCCACAGAATCAGCAAACACAGACTCGCCTCCCCCACCTTGTGCGGTCTCTGCAGCAGGAAGACCAGCATTGAAAGCCAAGGCCCCGTCTTGTCTGTGGATGATACTCTTGATAATAGAGCACTGAAGTTGTTCTCTTACCCTCATGCCTGGTATGCCTGGGTATCCTGAGCGGCCTGGTGGACAGGCATTTGGACACTGCCAGAGAAAGAGAAAGAGAGTGCATAAGCTAGGACCCCCACTTAGTGAAGGGTGGTGTTTTCAGGGATTTCAGCTACAGGACGCCAAGCAATTATATTCATTAAATAACTCTAAAGACCCCTTTCCTGTTTTTACTATTACATTTTCAAACTCAGAAATATTTCTGACAGAAAAGTGCAGACAATATAGCAAATCTCCCCTTGTATCTACCATCCAGTTTTAATAAATGTTCATATTTTGCTATATGTACTTCAGGTCTAATTTATTAGAGACAAAACGCTTACAGAAAACCTATTGTGCCATGACCTGGTCCATTTCCCTTCCCCTCTACTAGGCCAGCCCTCTCCTGAGGTTCACATCTACTCAGCAAATGAGCCAAAACTGTATTTGGCGCAGTTTACTGCAATCACCAGACTGTTCATCTACAAGTAAAACAGAGCTTAAAGGGAGTTATCTGACTTCCATCTCTTTAAAATTGGGGTGCTCTAGTGACAGCATGCCCTAGCCATAAAGTAAAAAGATTGTAGAAACACAAAGATACTTCTATAATGAAAAACTGCTATGATCTGAGTATATTCAAGTTAGCAGCCCACTAGTGTTACAGACTGCTCTGCCCTCTGAACAAAGCACAGAAACCCAGCATATTACAGAAGATCTTTAAAAGAGAACTCATCTGACGATGACATGATCCTTGAATTAAAACTGTATCTTGTTCAAAGGAAAATATCTTACCAGTGGATCTCCATCATGAAAACCAATTGTTCCCTAAAATAAAACAAAATTAAAGTTTAGATTATAATAATTAATATAATTAAGTTTAGGTTATAATTAATTAATTCAGATAAATAAATATATTTATTTAAGAAAATATAAGAAACAGGAGTATAGAATATGCTAATATTCTAAAATTTGAATGGTGGGCATATTCTTTTTGAAGAACCCTAAATATGAGTAGATTATTTCTTTTGAGGGGATTGAGGGGAGAGTGAGAGACAAAATAGAAAATATAAGGAACTCTGAATTGTACTTAAACTCTAGTTCATTTGAAAATGCTTCTTTTATATATCTAAGCTTTGAGCATTTCAGAAACCACAAACATCAAAGGACTTCATTTGCCCTGTGAAAACCACCTTTTAAATTATTGTGATTCCTCTATTTTTTTTTACATAAAAACAACAATGTTCTGAGTGTGTGAAAAAACTGGTAGTCATTTTGAAAATTTGGAATCATGACAAAATTAATAGCACTTCCACTTTTAGCTCTTAGATTTTTTTATTTTTATTTTTTGTCAATCCTAACTCTCTGTTCCAAAAAAACATCAAACTGCAAATAACTTACACTTGGTCCTGGAGGGCCAGGGGGGCCAGGTGGTCCTCTTTTCCCAGGATCGCCCTAAGTCATTAGAAAGTCATGACACAGCAATTATACCCATGTCAAAACACAGCACATAAAACCAGCAATGCATGAGAGAATGGTATTACCAGAAACCCCTACTGAGCTCGGTCATGCATAGACCTGCCACTAAAATCAATGGGCGGCCCATAATCCAATCAGTTCTACAAAATCAGAATAATGAAGGTATTCCAGGCTCACCAAGTTAATTAAACAAGGCAGACAAGGTAGGAAAAGCCAAGTCAATTCTCTACAGGACGATCATTTTATCTACTCTGAAAACAAACTGGAAACACTCCTTATTTTTCGAATTGATCTACAGGGGCCCAGAGCAGCCAATCCTGCCAATGCTGCTCAGCTAATCAGAACAACAGCAATCAGGGTACCCAACCTGGAGCTTTGAAAGGGAAGGTGACCTCGGCAGTGTCTGACTCTGGCGGACACTGGTCACCCACCATCCATCACTTGTCTGTCACTGCACCTTTTTGCAAGGGTCAGAAAATCAAACAAAATTAAATTCAAGTAAGTCATTCAGATGAAATGGGCTCGAATCACTTGCAACAGCCATTTTCCTTCTGAATGTTCTACCAGAAAAAATCAAAAGCATGTTATAATATTTATGTACTTATTTACTTTATTTATTTACTTATTTATTTTAGAGATGAGGTCTCATTTCACTGCCCTGGCTAGTCTTGAACTCCTGGGCTTAAGTAATTCTCTCTCCTCGACTTCCCAAAGTGCTGGGATTATAGGAATGAGCCATATGACCGGCTGCTTACTATTATGTTAACTTTACAGTCATTTCATCCTCATTTGTTCAGTAAATAAATTTGCAAACAGTAAGCACATGTAGAGAAGCAAGAAAGACATGTGACATGCAGCTCTTTTCCTCAATGAGTTCACAGTTACCTACTTTCACATAGCATCACTCATTCAACATCTTGGAAATGTTTACTCAATATCAACATGAAGTACTTTTTATCAGCAATTTGTTTTATAAAGTCCAGCTCTTTAATGTCAAAAGCTGAATTCTGTGGGTTCAATTGTAACTTAAGGATCCAACATAAATATGCATGGTAATAATCTTAGGCTATCAACTTTTTATGTCACACAGAGTCTAATGTGAAAGCCGCTGGGTCGTAGTCCTGGCTGACAGTCTGTACACTGAGGATGACACTCTCTTATTTGAGACTCAGTCTGAAGTTGGAAAGAAAAGTTTAGTTTAAAACTTTAGGGAAAAAAATAAAATCACTCTACAAAAATAATGACTATTCCTAGTGCCCATCAATATTATGAGCTAGAATGAAACTCACCTGCCATGTTTTGACTTGCCAGGGAAAGACAGAGTTAGGGTCATGATAAACCTGGTAACACCTTCTATTAAGGCAGCCAATGTCTATCAAAGTGCTCTGCGGTACTCACAATAGATCCCACACGGCCAAGCTCTCCAGGGAGTCCTGCTGTCCCAGGAGGACCCTAAAGTCAACAAATCAAAGCGACATGGTGACTTGTGGAGATTTTAACTGTCATAAATGGTATCAAATATGATACATAATGGACTCAGAAATACATATCTGTATTAGCTTTGGCTCCCCATGAACCAATGACTCATTTGACCAAACTTTAATTACTTAAGATATAACAGACATTTCCTAAATTAATAAATATTTTGTTTAGCAGAATAGGGGTATTGTCATTAGTAGCCACCTAAGACCATGCAGGTAGAAGATTGTAAACACCACTGGGCGGAGTGTTAGTTGGATAGTAAGGAACGATTTGAGAACTGGGACATTTTTGTAGACTGTAAAAGCAAATGATGAAATTATACTTACGGGGGGTCCAGGAATACCACGACCCTAAAAAATTAAAATAATAATACTTAGTATAAATGTGGACACAGACAGAATTCAGTTTAAAAACAAACATAAGCTCTATCACTAAATAAAGATATGATGCTCATTCTAAAGAAAGTGCTAGATAAAGCAAAGCAAACATGACTCTCCTACAGGGAACAGATGCTTGTTTCAGCCCCTTGAACATTCATTCCTTTGGTATGTCTACTAACCAGTGATACTTTCTCAAACTTTTTAAAAGAAAATCAGGGTAAAGAGGCATCCATGCTTTCCCTCAGGAGAACCTACTGTTACCTACAGTGGCACACAGCAACCAGAAAGTTTAAAGATTTCATTCATTTGTAGTGTTTTATATGAAACCTACATTAAAAGTATTATGTTTTATAATTCATAATAAATGATATTTAGAGGTTCACCAAACATTTAGCACAGAGAAGCAGGGGTAAAGGGGGTCAGAAACACGCCTCCCTTTGACAGGCAGGAGCTATGTGGCCAGACACTAAATAAAGTGAATACAAGAATAAAAATGTCATCACTCCTGAAGTAGCCCACAGTGGGACCCGAATTTGATATGCTGAATTTGATTTTAGATCTAGCCATTCTATCTCTCTTTTCTTACACTTTCTGTCTCTTCAGCAGCACCAACCCGTATGTAACCAAGGATTGAAACCCCACCTCAGTCATCTTCTTGCCCTATGCCCCAGCACAGGACCAGGTATATGATAAACCTTAACAATATACTTGTTGAAATTAAATCTGAATATCTCTATTCTCTCTCTTTGTTTTCTAACTCCATTTCCCCCCTTGGGATTTCTCATTTTTCTTTTCTCTTCTATGTTGGCCTGAAGAGCTTTATTCACAGCTGTCTGTGATCCCATATTTGTGTTAGCTTTTCATTCCAGACTGGCTTTTCTAAAACACTCATCTATAAAGTACTGCCATGGAATCACTGCACACCCTCTAGTAGTGATAGCATTACTTCTAGTTATTTAGGCAGTGAAAACAAACAAGAACTTCACATGTTTTAATAACAGGTGGGATTTTTAAAACACATTCTTTGAAAAATGACTCCAAATTGAACATTTTAATGCATAGATCAACTTGGGACATAGGTGTTATAGTTGATAATACCAAAGTAATCAATAAGTTATTTCATTGTCAGAGACCTTGATGTTTGACAAATTTCACTAAATAAAAATAAGGTATTTCTATAAGATGTTGAGGTTGAGATTGAGATTGAGTTGAAAAATACGGGTGAAAAGTCAACAACTCTTCACTTTTGAAAATAGGCTTCTAATGGAAAAGTTGGCAGGTGCTGAAATATGGCTAGGAAAATAGCACAGATAGGGAAAAGGATGAAAAATACAGATTAATGACAAAAGCAAAAGAGCAAAGAGGAAAACAGAAAGTAAAAGCAGCCTAAGAACCTAGTCCACTTGTACATGCAAAAAAACACACATGTGCTAGATTGTGCAATGTAGGAGAAGACCAATTAGGAAGTCAGGCAGTGACAATGTCTGACTGGCTGATATTTCGTTGGAGGTAAAACCAGTGTTACGGTAGTTGTTCAAGGTCCACTTATGAGTAAGAACACGCAGTACTCAGTTCTTTGTTTCTGTGAAAGATCACTCAGTATTATGGAGTCTAATTCCATCCAGGTTGCTGTGAAGTTCATGATTTTGTTCTTCTTTATGGCTGCATAATATTCCATGGTGTATATGTACCACATTTTTTTTTATCCACTCCCCTTTTGATGGGCAGCATGGTTGGTTCCATGTTCTAGCCATTGTGAGCAAACCTTGAACAACTACCATAATACTATAAGAAAACGATTGACAGTGGGAAACTGCGGAGGGTAAGGGGGCAGGGAGGTGGGATTGACAGTAGTAGAAATCTCCCCGGGGAAGGAGGGGCATACCTCATCAACAAGGGTGCCTGCACAATGAATATTTGTATATCTAACCCTGAATTGTACCCCACAATTTTTTTTAAAAAATTTAAAAGTTAAAGAAAAAACAGTAGTGAAGAAAGTACTATGGTGTCATGGTCTGAACAATGAACACTTAGATTTGCTGTTGGTGTGTAAGACATGTTTTCAATCTTAGAGGCAGAGTTGTCTGTTGGGAAATGCCACCTGCAAACAGACACAAGTATCTTATACTGTACATTCAAATATCGCTAGTATTGTTCCACTCACAGTAGGAATGCTTACCATACCACAGAATTTATGAACTCCTCTGCAGGTGTATTGTATAGAAAACTACACTTAAAAATTTTGCCGTGGCAGACTTTTACCTAAAGACAGGAAATGTTCGATCCTGTCGCTTTACATTTACTTACTGGAAATCCACGCGATCCAGGCACACCGGGTTCTCCCTGAAAATACAAATAGTTTCATTGTGCTGACCTTCTGTAGCATGGATATGTAAATATGCAGACTGGGTAAATAATGAAACCATTAAAGCACTCCACTTTGGTGTTTTCAAATACACTTTTAGTTCAACAAGTGTATTTCACTGCTTCATAACTTAATCTGCTAGCTTATTTGTAAATACTACAATAAAATTATGCTTCAGTATTAAATTAATACCAGCAATTAATATGAGGTGGCTAGCTTACTTTTTGTCCCCTTGGTCCAATGGAGCCAGGAGAGCCATCAGGTCCTGTTAATCCCTATGAAAACAAGATAATGATGTTAGAACTCCCAGGACATCCTTAGGCAAACCACAAGGTGGAAAATTTCCATTTCATTTATTAATTATCCAGAGGATGTTTATATATGTATGATGCAAATGATGACAAAGAAATAACTTCCTATATTTTTACTCAAAGGCAAAGATTAACATGAGATCTATCTGCTAGTTATTTTTTGTTGATACGTTGTATCATATCCCTAACTTCCTGTTAACTACACTGCTTATCACGGGGTTCAATAATTTTGTGGGTTTTTTGGCATCTTCTTTGAAAAAAATGCAACATAACAATATTACAGTGTTATAGTAGCTAAGACCGAGGATCTTGGCTCTGCCATTTATTCAGGATTATGTACCTTCCTTGCTTCATAGTCTACAAACATCTGTTTGATATTCAGTTTTTATTCTCCAAACATTAGCCCTTGGGCACTTCATGTACTGCCACTTTGCATAGACAGAAAGTTCAAACGAGGGGTTTTGAAACATAAGACTAAACCTATCTCCTAAAGCACTAAAAATAGCGTAGCCAAATGCCTTCCTTACGGGGATCATGACAGAGAAAGTCAGCCTCAATAACAGCTAAAAGCCAACTATTTATTTTTGTCTCAAAATGAAGGATCTGTTTTAAACCCTAGTAAAAAAAAATTCTTGGAAATTATAATTAAGAGTTTTCAAGTGTCTTCTCTTATTGAGAAAAGTTCTTAGTGTTGGGAAGACACATAAAGTGGACTTGAAGGGGAGGGACACACCACCAAGCTGTTCTCTAAGAACAGATGTCCTTTCCTTCACTTTGAACCAAGTGACAAGACCAGGACGGGTCTGTTGTGAGACCTCATTAAGTATTAGTAGAATGTCCTGAAGTCACTTTCTCTGAAGAATTGCTAATATGTTAGGGTTACCACAGAACTCAGCATCTGAGCTTCCTTCAGGTGGGGGCAGGTGAGCCAGAGAAAACTGGAGAAAGGTTGCCGGTTCCCAATCTTCCAGTATTCCTAGCCAGTTCGTTGCTGTCAGTGAAACCAGCCAGAAACACATTCCGGAAAGAGAACAAGCTAGTTCCAAATCTTCCTCTCTATGTGGACCGCATCCTCCTGTCCCCACAGGCCCCACTCACTCCAAGTATAACCAGACATTCCTTGGGGTAAGGAAGGCTGTGCCCGTCCCAGCCTTCAGTTTCTCTTTCTATATTAGCCTAGAGAGTACTGGCAAGGGACAGGTGCAGGTGCAGACCACCTGCTGGGAGCCCACCCACCTCACCCTCATTCCCCCAGAGGCTGAGGGTTTGCAGAATGCGCAGGATGGGAAGCAGATGCCTGTTTTCTGAGAGAAGGGAATGCCAGACTGGCATTCTCCCCAGGAGGTCCCAGGCACCTCTGCCCCTAAATCCCCCTCCCAGGATGACCCTCCCAAGGCTATGTGGCTCCACAGCCAGCCAGCGTTGCACACAGGCCAAGATCCTGGCCACCAAGCACTTCTCTTGCTCTCTGTTTCTGTCTCTCTCTAGTTCTGTCTCTCTGTGTCTCTGTCTGTCTCTACCTCTTTCTCTGTCTCTGTCTTTTTGGCTCTCTCCCTCTCTTTCTTTCTGTTTCTCTCTCTCTCTCTCTCTCTCTCTGTCTCTCTGTCTCTGTCTCTGTCTCACTTTCTCTGTCCCTGTCTCTATCTTTCTGTCTCTGTGTCTTGTCCTTCTGTCTCTGTCTCTAACTCTCTCTGTCTCTCTTTGTTTCTCTCTCTCTCTCTCTCTCTCTCTCTCTCTCTCTCTGTCCTTCTCTCTGTCTCTATCCCTCTGTCTCTGTCTCTCTTTTTCTTTCTCCTTCTCTCTCTCTGTCCCTATCTCTCTATGTCTCTGTCTCTCTCTCTCTCTCTCACGGGTACCCCACCCTGCCACCCATACCCCCTCCTCCCCCTCCCTCGAACTCCCTACTCACGTCAGCGCCAGGTGTGCCGGGCTTGCCAGGAGCTCCTGGCTTTCCGGGTTCCCCTGCGGGACCCTGAGGGTGGAGGGTAGAGAAAAGGTGCCTAGTGAGCCCCTGGGACACACGCGACTGCAAAATGTGTCTGAGAAAGACAGTGGCGCGTGATGGCGCCGACTAACTTACCAGGAGGCCCGGGGGACCCTTTGGACCTCGGTCACCCTGGGGACAGAAGAGGTGAGAGTCTCAGCAGGTGTGCGCGAGGCATACATAGCCAGGACAGGGACACGGGGGTGGAGGAGACGAGAGGCGGAGGTTCCCCATCAACAGGGACAGCAGGGACACGTCCACCCCCAAATCCCTGGGCTCCCAGGAGCAGCCTTAGCTCCCCTTGTCCGACCCGACCTCTCAGGGTGACGGGAGGGGACGCCATCCCTCTCTGAAATCCCACGCGGGCAGAAAAGGGCAGGAGAGCGACACTCACGTCGATGCCGTCGATGCCCGGAACTCCAGGGGGACCTGGGGGTCCAGGGGGGCCCTGCGGACCCGGGGGGCCTCTCTGCAAGACAGACGCTGGTGAGCAGAGTGCGGGGGCCGGAGCGCCGAGCCCCGCCCAGGGGACCCGAAGGTCTCCTGGTATCACTGCGCCCCACGGCCCCACCCGGAAGAGCGCAGAAAGTAGAGGGGGTGGGACAGGGAGGCTCCAAGTCTTTTCCCCAAAGGGACTCCAATGAGCATACTACACCGGCGTCTTCAGTAATCGTTTGGCCATAATGGACCTGGCAGGAATACAAGTGCCCTTCCAGGTGGCGCGACGGGGCCACCCTGTGGACTTCTCCGTGTTGAGCATAACGGGGGGTGGGCAGGGCTGAGGACAAGAGCTGGAGGGGCTGGGCTCTCTGGCTCCGGCTCTCATCTCTCTCTCTGTCTCTATCTCTCTTTATCTCTGTCTCCCCATCTGTCTCTGTGTCTCTTTCCCTCTCTATGTGTCTCTGTCTTTCTCTGTATCTATCTCTGTGTGTTTGTGTGTGTCTCTATCTCTGTCTGTGTCTCTGTCTCTATCTCTGTGTCTGTGTCGCTGACTGTCTCTCTGTGTGTCTCTGTGCGTGTGTCTCTGTCTCGCTCTATCTCTCTGTCTCTGTCCCTGTCTGTCTGTCTCTCTCTCTCTCTCTCTCTCTCTCTCTCTCTCTCTCTCAGTGTTCGTGTGTGTCGGTCTTTGCCTTTCGAGAAAGGACACCTAATTCCAGACTGACCCTGGAGGCGACCTTTCTGTCTCTTGCAATCAGCCGCGCCGCGCCGGGGGCGCTGGGGTCTGCATGGCATGGATGTGCTGCTTGGGGAATGTGAGCTTTTTTTTCCTTTTTTTTTCCGCTTCTGAATTTTAAAAAGGAAGAAGAAAGCCTCTTTCATGGAGGAAAACTTTGTTTTTCCACTGCAGCGGCAGCCAGGTTACAATGGGGTCTTTGTGAGTGAAACCTCAGTCCCCGGGCTCGCCCTCCCGGCCC